AATAACAATGCCTACATTTCTTGGGAGATTTCTTCTGAAGGATTCAAATAACCTAATATACATTTACTTTCTCTTCACTCTGTAACAGAGGAAGAAACAGACACTCCCAAGCTGTGTGACCCTGGGAAATGACACCATTTCTCAGAGTCTCTGTTTTCTGAAATGTTCAAACAGGGATAGGCAGGGAAGGCAGGAGTTTTAGATCTGCCATTTGATGAGACTGTGAGGCATAATGTGAAACAACATCTTGATGGCAGGGTTTTGCAAAACAAATGTTGGTATTGAATAGTGTTGCCTGCAAATAAGCTCTGAGAAAATACATTCTAGGTCACATCAGAGTCTTTCAATGTCACTCAGAAACAAGAAAAATCACTCTTTGGCTTCCCAAATGATCTTCTACTGAAAAGGAGCACATGACAAAGAGAAACAGTTTTAAGAAATGCACTTACTCAGTTTTACTACTAACATTTATAGGGAAATGATAGTGTCATTTTACCATAAACTGTGGGGTGTTAGATGGTATAATATGCCCAAGAGTTAATCTATGAATTACAGATATCTTCATGGTTTCCTAAAGCAAATCTGACTCAGAAAGATGAGTTTATGTGAACCACACTTGTAGAAAAAAAAATCTAAATTATTCCTTTTTAAATGGCTACAATTCAGCTGATAATCTGTATTCTGTCACTTTATTCAAAGCTGTTTGTGCCAACATAACTTAAACACGAGCAAATAAACAGCCACTGAATAATAGGGAATCTGTGTCATCATATGCATGTGTAATATTCATTAGCCTCTTCTGAACAATCACTGTGTTCAGAATGGAGAAATATATTTTACTACTGAAAATGTAAAACAGACAAGTTCTTGCTTCAAATTATAAGGCAACTTATTGGAAGTCTATGGGAGATGCGAAGAAACTCTTTAAGGAAACATTTAGCTATTTGATAACTGATCAAACAAATAAAAAAAATCACAAAGAGAGAAAGCTAGATGGAATTAATGACAAACAGCTTACTGGAGGCATTAAGCTTCACCATGAGCTTTTCTAGAAGATTTGGAGTATGCATATATTGGGAATATTTTAAGAGCTGCATGTTTTTATGAGCAGTGAAGGGAGGCAGTTTATAAATGAGGGCCAGACAACATTATCGTGTGGCATGACTGAAGAGGATTTCATTTTACACTATCTAAAATATCAGTCAATAGGGCACATCCATCTCTTTTAAGGAGTGTTGTCTAACAGCAATAGCAGTGGTAGATTGTTTTTTTAATTTTTAAGTATTTTTAGTTAAAGTATACCCAAATGCCCAAATATTAGATGGGACATGCTTATACTAAAATAATCATTTTATTGCTTATCTGAAATTAAAACTTTACAAGGCATCCTGTATTTTCATTGACTAAATCTGTAAACTCTGCGCATAAGGATCTTAGTCAAAGTAAGGTATTGCAGGGACATGAAACAAGCGTGATGATTAACTTCTGTCTATGATGAAAAATGTGATATAAGTAGTATAGTAAGAAAAGGAGGGACTCCGTCTTAAGGCTAAGATTCCATTTTAAAAGCAGACAGTTATGACCACGTTCTTTGGTAATCAGTCAGCAATCTATCTTAAGGCATGGTAAGCAGTCCTAAATGGTATATTCCCAGTGCTTGAGGGTAACCACCATCTTGGAGAAGAACAGGGTCAATAAATTCCTTGTGATAAGTTTGTCTTAGAGAATATCTAGAGGACAGACTATGGATGGTGACGTAATGTCTCTCACTGGAGATAGCCATCATGAGGCCTACACATACCCTGCCCTCTTTGCTCCATCCTTGAAATCCTTAAAAGACAGAATCCTAAGCCTTTAATCATGTATTCTCTCTGAGGTTGCCCACACTCCCCTCTCTTCAAGTGTGTACTGTGTCTTAAATAAAGACTTCTTGATGCTCAGCTTTACTGCGTTTTGTCTCTGTGCTTTTCCAGTGGTAAGTGTCTTTGTTACTTAGCTATTTCATTCTATTTTCTAGATGTAAGCACTAGTCTTCTCTCTCTCTGCTTTATTTTAGACCAGTAGGGAAGTGGAAGTTCTCAGAACATACTCTCACTCCATCCAATGCTCTGTGGCTCCCCCAGATCCTGGGGTGGTAGGGGCTTAGGTCCCACGCTGTGCAGACTCAAGCAGACACAGGATGCTGGGTAACTCTGGCTTCAGGAGTTGGCAAGGGATCTGCTCTGTGCTGAGCAGGAGTTCAATGAGCTTCCCTTCCCTCCTTCTGTTCTCCCTTGCTCTCTGCTGCCTACATGGCTGCTGCCATTCCCTGCTACTCTCACTTTAATGAATTCCTTCCTTACCTCTACTCATCAGACCTGTTTGGGAATTCTTTCTCGATCAGCATCAAGAATGCTCCCCTGTCCAGGTTGAGGTTTCATCTAGTACATAGGGAGAGACCTCCCCAGATGCAGCTGCCCAACAGAAAATCACTTTCTTTTTCGAAAAAAGGGATTAGCAAGTTTTAAAGATGTTCCCATCAATACTAAATAGCACTTACTATGTGCCAGGTTTTACTCTGGGCACTTGACACATTTTGACTCATTTATCCTTATAAAAACCTATGAGATCAATGTTACTACTTTATTCTCTTCTTTCCAGAGGAAGAAATTGAGGCACACAGAGATTAACTAACTTGCCCAGGGTGACAAACTGGGAAAGGGCAGAACCCGGACTTGAAAATAGGAAGCCTGGCTTTAGCATCTTCACTCTCAACTACCACATATTTGGCTAGGCAAGGCCTGGGTCACACACAGTGACTGGGAAAAGCACCTCATCATGGCTCTTTAAACATAGGGAATCCTAACGCTTTAACTGTTGGCTCAGCCCTTAAAACCAAAAGCACAGTTCCAGGAAAAAGGACCTCCAATGTTGAAAGGAGCCCCAGAGAGTCCTTCCTGGAAGCTGACCACCATCCTGTGGATGGCTGCAGTTGACTGGCTTCTCATCTACACGTGCCCTTTATGGCTTCCTCTAAGTTTCCCTGGGTAACACTTTTCACATTGGAAGATTCCGATGTGACCTAGAATGTATTTTCTCAGAGCTTATTTGCAGGCAATACAATTCCATACCAACATTTGTTTTGCAAAACCCTGCCGGCAAGATGTTAACTGTTTAGGGACAGTTATTACAAGTCCTTACCTCGCTTGTAATAGTCACTTTAGTTGTGCCACATGAGGAAAAGGTAGCATTACAGCACATTGTACCCACATTGGCCCAGACTCTTGCTTTGCCAGGCGTGTTCCTGGAAACACAATGAGCAATAGGGCCCAGCGGGAGCCAAGGAGGAGTGAGACAGAGCAGGGGAATGGGACAAGGGTCATGCCATTGTAAACCCTACTTAGCCTGCAAAACAGGCCCAGTTTGTCCTTTAACTTAATCTATATGCTGTTCTTCCTCTTATTCCAGCCCCTTAATCAATTAAGTAACTTTGTAACCAAGACAAGAGACAGACCTCCTGAGTGTAAACAAATCTACCTGGGTAAAGAATGCTGAGATCCCCATCAATACAGTCACCTAAATTTTCTTAAGACAAAACTTCAAAGAAATTATGAATCACCTATATACATCATACCTTTTGCAAACCCCTACCCAAAGGTCCTATAAAATCCTAAACCCTTAAGCTCACCTCCTGAGGTTGCCCACACTCCCATCTGGGTACTGTGTTAGATCAAATGAACTTTCTTGTTGCAGAAGCTGACTGAGCTTGTCTCTGAACTCTTTTCCATATTAAAGACAAGAACTCTCCAACTTCTACCCCTGTCGGTAACTGTCTTTGTTACTTTGCTATGTCATTCAGCTTTCTAGTCTTAACATGGATTTTCTCTCTGCCTCTTTTATTTCAGACCAGTGGAGAAGTGGAAGTTCTCAGAACATAAAACTCACTCCATCCAGGGCTCCATGGCTCCCCCATATCCTGGGGTGGCTGCGATATAAGTCCCATGCTGTGCAGATCAAGTGGACCCTAGATGCCAGGTGACTCTGGCTTCAGGAGTTGGCAAAGGATCTACCCTATGCTGAGCAGGAGTTCAATTAAATTCCCTTTTCTCCCTATTCTTCCTTTCTGTCTTTTGCCTACATGGCTGCTGACATTCACTTCTACTCTTACTTAATGAATTCCTTCCTTGCTGCACCTGTTTGGCCTGATCAAGAATTCTTTCCCTATGAGTCAGGAACCCTTTCCTGTCCATGCTGAGGTTTCACCTAGTGCACAGGAAGAGAGACCTTCCCAGATGCAGCTGCCCAACAACAGGAGGATATACTATTTACATGTCTTATTTATTGCCAGGGACCCAGACACTCATTAGGCAGAAGACCCATTCCTTTTACTTTATTTTATACCTGTCAAGGTTGGTTCCTAAGATCAGCAAGGAGCTCCTGATATATTTTTCAAATAGAAGCAAATGCCACATATATCTGACAGTCACGTCCGAAGGATTCCAGGAAGATGAATGATATTTACCATTTAGAGGTGCTTATCACTGAATTGATGCTCTAATTTATACAACATATATGAAAGAAAATCATAAATATGAATCTTTGGTATATTTTAAAATAATTAGGCTCCTGTATTGACTTACTTTGACTTTTTGTACCACACTATCAATTTGTGGAGTGTTCAAGCATTTTGCTTCTAGGAAGACATTCATTTCCATGAAGTGATATAAAACCCTTCGTCCATTCCTATTTAGAGCTGAGGAATAAACCTATTTGTAATGACTCTTACATGAGAAGCATATTGACTACTTCTCTATAATAATCAGACATTACATGAAATTAGAAACAATAAGGGAGTGAAATCAATCAGCCCTGGCAGACGGTTTGAGATGATAATGACTCATTTGACTGGGTTGCTCTGAAAAATTAATAACAACAGAAGTAATTACTAACCTGGGAGAGCCAGACTCTTGATCACCCTTTAACATGGAAACCTAAAGTGTGCAGAAGCCGTCACTGTAAGGCACACGCCTGTGTGCTGTAGTCAACAGTCAACTGGTGCAAGTGCATCAAAGTCTCATCCTCCAGATTCTTGGTTCTCAACTGGAGATGTCTTTGTCCCTAAGGGGAACATTTGGCAGTGGCAGGAGACATTTTTGGTTGTCCCAGTCTTGGGCATGGGTGCTACTGATATCTGGTGGGTGGAAGCCAGAGATGATGCTACACATTCTATAATGCACAGGAGAGCCCCCAGGACACAGAATAACCTAGCCACCAATGTTAACAGTGCCAGTGTTAAGAAACTCAGGGTGTAGGCCCTGCCTAAGTGTCATCAACTGCTCTGAGACACAGCTCACAAAGCAGGTGGTGAGAGTCCCGATGGAAAGGGCAAGGAGCAGCTATGACAGGTCCAAGATGAATGGTTCACCTCCACTTCTTTTGATTGAGGTCTCTATTTGGCACAAAGGATTGGCAAATCCCTTCATTTTTCTTCTAGCTCTATCTGCTCCCGAGTGCAGGGGCATATATCACAGCCACCTAGCTGCTGGCTGCTAAGACGCTGTTGTGGAGCAGACAGCTCAATGCATCAGAGAAAGGGCCATGCTGGACAGACAGCCAACAGGATGCCCAATGGGAAAATTTACCTTGGCTCTTTCCTCTGAGTCTCAGTCCTTGTTTGTTTGGGAATGCCTAGACCTTTACTATCGAAAATATTTACAGAGCTAGCTTCTAGGTAACTAATGGTAAAGGTGTACATGAAACAATGAGATCATTGCAGAGCTCTTCTATATGCATCTGTATCACATGCCCAAATATTGCATGTTGATGCCTCACGTAATCTGATGTACAATTTACCTTATGTTGTGCAAAAGCTGACAGTAACTACTCTGTAGTGTATCCAAAACAGTATGACAGACTTCATATCAAACCCACCAGTAGGTCCACAAGACCTCACAGTAATATGGCTTTTCTCTGCTTCCTTTCCCTGCTTCTTCTGCTAAACATATGTTCCCATTTCACATTGCTAGAAAACTTCATTTTTACTATAATAGAAAAGCTAAATTTGGATTTAAAAAATTGTCCAAATCAGCTCTTTCAGGAATAATCATACATTAAACAAAGTTTAATGTGCTATGCAGCTACCTTCTCTCTTTTGCCCCAGTCCAAGCTGTTTCTATTGGTATTCCATTCTCCCACATGTCTGGATGCCCAGAGAATATCCCACTGAGACTCTGGGGTCAACCTTCCTACAAATGTTTCTCCCATTCCTTTCTCACCTTGAACAAGGACCTACTCTTTGCTAAGGTACCTTGACATTAGGTTGTCCCATATCTGTCAATATGGGGCTTTCTGGAAAAGCAGCGGGGCGTGTCTACAATTATGGGGATCTCTGGCCCTGCCTCAGCAAGTTTGGCAGGGGAGGATCTTAGCACGGCCCAGATCATACCATTGGATGGCTTACTTAGTGACTGTGTGAAGCCATTTTTCAAAATCTATTATTTAAAAAGCTTTCTTTCCAAACTATTGCTACGACTTTCCCTCATGGAATACAGACACTGTATTGTCCAGGGTGGTTATATTTTCATACATTTGTTTTCCAGAGATAATATTTAATCTCAGCCTGACTTCACCAAATATGCTCCTTCCTAGCTTCTTAAACTTTACACTCATTTTACTAGGAGCACAGATTTTCAGAGATGCCCAGTTCTATCCTCCCATTTTACGGATGAGGAATCTGAAGTCTAATGCCTTGTCTGAGATTACTTTGCAGATGTTTATTCTTCAAGATATTTGCTACTACTCTTTGCGCAACGACTTTATTTCTTTCCTCCTCTACCATCAGATTTAGCTTCTTTATTTGTTGTGGCAAATGACCCATGAGCAGAAACGGCACATGCCACTTTCAAGCAGTGATTTTAAGAGCCATCAAGTGATTCTTCCATGTTCTGTACCTCTTTTTATGCAATAAGCATGGTCCTGGACAGGGAGTAACCCTTCAGCCTGGGTTCCAGGTCAGGGATGAAGCAAGGCAGAGCAACTTACACGAGAAATAAACCTTTACTGGTGTAAGCTGCCACTTGAGGTCATTTGTTCCCACAACTTCATACACTCTAGACTGATTGCTACAGGCACCAGCAACTTAGTAACAGGGCTGATTTAAGCCTCCAGTCCCTATTCCTAGACCAGGTTTTCTCCAAGACACCACAATGAAAAAAACATATTTCAGCTATAATGAGCTACAGAAGGAGTAACATCCAACATTTGAGCAGACAGGCCTTGGTTTTTAATATTTTTAGTTAGCTTGCATCCCAGTTAGAAAGGCTTTGGGGATTATGCATACTATGGCTCAGTTGCATTTGCAGGAATAATTAAGGAAAGGTTCCTAAGCAAGGCCAAGCCCAAAAGTTTAGACTTCCCACAAACTTCTTTTTCAGATTCGGCAGAAGGTAAATCTTGTCTTACATAGTAACAACACAACATGTTATTTAAAATCAAAGATAAAAATGAAACACAAAAAAATCCTTGAAATTCAGAAAGCATCAAACAAAAATAAAGACAGAATGACAGACATAAAGAGGGGAGGAAAAAAAACTCCAGACAGTGCACAGAATTGTAAACACCATTTAGGTGTACAAATTTACTTCATTATTTTCTAGTTAATGAGTTTTCACATAAGCTAAGAATATTCTGGTGATGTCTTTACTTAACATTGTAATTTCACAAACTGTCAGGAATGAAGAACTCCACTGGGGTAAGTGAAGATATGCTTGAATTTTCTTAATTGCCACCTTGCTAAGGCTTTGAGCTCATTGTTTAGCTGTGTGACAAATGGTTCTAAGCACTGTCAGGCAGTTGCAGGGGAGACGGGGTTGCTGCACAATGTGCCTGTCTCATTACTGTGCTGCTGACAGCCCACAGCCTGAGAAAGGAGACAACACTTGTTCCAGCAGAAGGGTTGCAGGGGCCAGAGTGGCAGTGACTGATAAATGAGAGTAGATTGCACTGTTGTTAGAATGTTTGCTCTCCCGGGGTCCCATCCTTCTCCCTGGGACAAGGACTGGCTTCAGAGTAAAACCTCAATGCCTCCCTTAACCCTGGGTCTCTGCATGAACCCCTAACCCAGCATCTGACACAGGCATGTTTTCAATAAGTGCTTGCTGCAAGGCTGTATGAATGAATGAATGAACGAATGAATGAATGAATGAACATCTTTCCTTCCCAAGCTTATCAGCTGCTCCTTTTCTTCTCTCCATTGCCAGAGAAAAGACTGAGTAAACTTAATCATATGATGAATATGATGAAACCAGTGTGTTCCAGTCTCTCACTTTGAGGCTGGGTCCGTCCACCTCCACCCACACAGACAACCTCCTCTCCACACCTTTAGTCACTCTCTTGTACCTACTGCTCCCCAACCAGTTCTCAACTCCTTTGAGGGATGAGCCTGCAGCAGAGTCAACTTTCAAACTCTCCTAGTGCTTAGCAAAGCATATTGTTCTTAGCAGGTGTTCTATGTATTTTAATTTTAAAAATAATGTGTTATATTCTTAATGTGTTGTATCTCAGTACTGTTTGCTACTTAGAAGAGAGATGGTATGAGAATAGAAAATGATGAACAAGAAAGAATAAAGTGCTGAAGTGGGGATTTCAGATGTAAAGGTAGGGGAAACACTTCTTGGAATCTTACTGCCTAAGAGTGGTTCCAAGTCCTGGCTCACAGACTGGCTTTGGTGTGGGGTATTCATTCTCAGTGGGGCGATACTAGCCCCAAGAGGGTGAAAACTGGTTCTTGGCAGAGGAGAGAAAAAATGCTCGGATATTACAATTTTCTGTGACCCTCCGAAGGGCCACAATACATAATCGGTATATCAGTGGTATTAGAATTTCATGGGGATGTGAGATTGGGAAAAAAATGTCTGAAATAACTCTTTGCAGGAAGATGATAATGAAAGCAAGGTTAAGAAATACAGGCTTATGGGGATATTTTTCCCAGCCCAAAGTGCATGTTTTTATATGTGTATGTATATATGTCTGTATAGTATGGATAATATAAATAATCCATGCAATTTTGCTAATAGGACTTTATGGGGAAAAATCTAGAGTTTACTTTCAGATTTTCCCTTTCTTAGCAAATTAAGCATTAGGTAGCTGTTGGTATCTACATTTAAAAAAGTGTTCTTGTTATTGAAATTCAAAAGTCTGGGAACCACTATTTTGGTTTTTAATAGACAACTTAATCCATGTGTACAATAATCCAAGAGTCTTGTCAATATTAAACAAAGCAAGTAGTCTTAGAGCATATGAAGAAAATTATCTCAGTCCCAGAGAAACTTAGGAGGAGATCACATTTCTATGAGACCCAGTGCAAGGGTTGAGTAAATTGTGCTCTTCACATCATGGTAAATGATCACTTGATTGTCTGGGCTGTTTGCTTGATTCATTGATTCATTAAGTCTACCCAATACCTCACTGCTATGCCTCTCTCAAACATTTTAACATGTTAAATGTGCATTCTATTTTATATTACTATTGCAAAATGTGTATTGCTCTGTGTGCATGCATTTTTGATTTATGTACATGGTAGTGTTACATATTTTATTGTTTCTTTTTCTTTCTATTTTTATTTTGTTTTTAAGATCTGCACTGTTCTACTGCTTCCTCTGCTGCAAACCCTTTTGGGTGTGTGTCCTCAATGATCTATCTTCCTACCACTATTTTAGAAAATGTTGTCTCCAATGACAATATGTCCCTTATTTGGGATCTAGGTCACAGTTTCCTGGGATGTATCCCAGATGGGAATGTTCTATATTCATCCTGAAGATGAGTGAATTATTTTGAAAGCTTTTTTTTTTTTACATCAGTTGCCCATAATCATATGAGTTTCCTACTGTTTTATGATATTTCATGTTTCTGACCTATATTCACCTTGATTATATTTTATACACTGGTGAATTCAGTTAGCTAATGTATTTTTATGCTTGTGTTTCATATATTTTCTATAATATTTTTCCTGCTCTTGTCTTTATCTGTATTTGAAGTTAAGAACACAAGCTGGGGGATTTTTTGCTTTTTAAAAAATTTTCTTAAGCAGCTAGCAAAACAAGAATGAACTGTCCCTTGAA